CCGGTATGGGCGCGACACTGAGGGTTGCAATCCCGTTACCGGTCAGTAAAAAAGACAAAAAAAAGGAAAAAATAAAAATAAAAAATGCATCCCACCCCACCCCAAAAGCCTCTCTATGAAAATGTGTAAAGACAGTTTGACATGGTGGACTGTCTTCATCATCCTACAACAATGGAAGTTGTTTAGGAGAAATTTCTAATATATTTGGGAACTAACTCCAGAAAAGAAAATCACTTATCGGATACCACTTTTTAGGCTGCCTCAGTCTGCACTAATGAAAACCAACCAATTTCATTTCAGTATGAAATAATCACCAGGTCCATATCCATATGCGGTCAAAAGATGTGTGTGTGTCTGTTAGGTCCTGGGCAAGTTGTTTAACTTTTTCATTAGTCCCAATCTCCTTATCCATAAAATAGGGATAAGATAAATATTCTGTCCCCCTCATAGGACTGTTCAGGATCAAATTAAATATTAATATAAAAGTTCAAGTACTATACTAATGTTATTTTTAAAAGATTGACATTTGAATGTCATAGGCAAAAAACACAATAAGATTATTTCACATATTCTACCTTTTATAAAAAATAGACACTGCTTACCCTTAACTGACATCCAACTTTTTCATAAGCTTTGATGAGTCTGTTTCTGTGATACATCATTATCCCATAATGATCTTTATTTCTGCAGTTGAATCCAAAAGTAATTCTCACTGTTTTAGTCTCAAAATGTTAAGGAAAATTCTGAACACAACACTTTACTCCCTTTAAATCATCCTTTCTATTTCATTATTTAGTAAGTCCAAAAGTACATAAAGAAGGGCAAAGTTGGGAAAGGATTAGAATCCACATCAGGACTTCATTATTTAGTAAGTCCAAAAGAACATAAAGAAGGGCAAAGTTGGGAAAGGATTAGAATCCACATCAGGTAAAAAAGGGGGAAGGGAGAATAAATAAAAATATGCTTGATTAACATATCTGTACATTCTATTTTCATAAAAAGGAAAATAAAGGATACTAAAAATTTGGGTCGATAAACATCACGTTCGATATAGGCCAGACTCTTTGAAACTAATTGTGTCTTCACTTTCTGTCCACGTAAGATGATCTGCATTCTTGGCTTTAGATATAATATACTGCAGTAAGCCTGCAAAGAAACACAGCAATATTTGTCCTTTCTCAATAGTTATGTACAGATGTGCTCAACATCACTTAGATATAGATTTAAATAGAAAGCTATCAACTTGCCCTGATGAAAGATCCTTTAACTCTTCAATAAAATAATATATAGCTATATGAGTTATGCTGATTTGATTACTATATTTTTCATTATAAACTCAGTATACTGTAGTCAGTAAAAATGATTGACAGAAAACAATCTACTGACCTATACAGATGATGATATATCATTGAGTGAAAAAGTTACAATACAGCACGTGTGGTATGATCTCATTTTAATTTTTTTAAAAAGTATATATATACAAAAAGGGACATTTTCTGTAGATATATTGTTATAATTTAAAAAGCAAAAATAAAATAAATTTTATGTAGGCAAAAATAATAGGCAAGTTCTAGTATAAACAAGAGAATAATACAAGATTGACAAGGAAAAAAATTCTAAATAATGCACCCATGTATAAGCAGAGTAGACCAGAAG